GGAAAAAACAGTTCTCTATATGGGTTGATGGTATCTGAAAAGAACGTCTTTCACACCAGATATTTTGTATCAATTTTTACTTTTTTTTAAATTCTGCTTCAAAAGTAATTATGAAGCTTTCCCCTGGCATTAATGCTGGTATATTACAAACAATGTAGCAGTTAATTGTATGCTGTATTACACTAATGCAACAATCGTGTACCCTTACTTTCACCATAATCCAGGTCCATGATTTGACTAACATTTTCAAAGTTAAAAGATTATTCAAATTGGAAGTGCCATAACCTTTTACCAATGACGAGTCTTGTTTTGCTTATGTCTGTTCGAATACTTAGTGAATAAAGACAACTTATAATTATATTTCACAGGATTTCAAAATGAAAATCCAAATTATAGCAATAACTATCGATAAAAATGTCTACGTAGCAATTCTCAAAATTAAAATAATTAAGAAGTAATTAGAAATTAGAGGAAAATGAGAAATTTGTTAATTTCGTATTTTTATAAACGGAAATGGAAAAAATTAAATGAAATAATAATTAAATCTATAACAATGTTTAATTCGACAAAAAGAGAAAAGTTACACCCTGACAAATCCTGTACAACACGTGACCAGTTTAATGTGCATTGGAATAATTAAGACATTTAAATTTAACCTACTGGTTATTCTCCGAACTAAAAATTTGCGTTTTTCTAATTTTTCAAAAAAATGAAATTGTATTAAAAAACACAGTGAAATAGCAAAATCTACTATGTTTGTATAAATATATATCTGTAGATGGGGCAGAAGTTCATAAAATTAGGATATCCAATAATCTAAGAACAATATTATTTTGAAATACAACCTCGATAATCCTAATGAAAGAAAGCAGTTGATTTTTTATCAAACAAATAACCGAACAGGGAATCAATAGTGAATTATATTAAGATATTAAAATAAGGATATGCTTGAAATATCCAGACTATCCGATGTCTCTTCGTTAAATGAAGAATAAAACAAATATCAGATTTGAGTTAATTTGTGACCAGTTATAGGTTTTGATCCTTAATCCTTTGAATAACAATAGGTAGTATTAATCTGTTCTTTTATATACTAATCATATCATTGTTATATAGATAGACATCAAACGATGCCGACAATAATATTATTATAATATAATACATTTAAAAATCTTGCTAATATTCCCACGACAGATTTATTTACAAAACGAAAAACCATAGAATTTTTCAGTCACAATTGTGTAAGGAGAAGACTGTGTTTTTAATGTTTGTGCCTGGAACTATTTTAGCAAATTACACATAGTTTGAAAATCCTTAATGATGAATATATATTACTCTTTGATCTGGAGGTGTTTTCAGTTAAATTATTAGTCGCAGACTAAATTAGATCTAATAGTTAGTATTTTGTCTAAGTATTAGAAAAGTTAATAGACCTTTTATTTCTGAAACTTATAAAACAAGTGTAATCTTTGGAAAAGCATAAGTTTCAGACAAATCTGGTTGAAAAATAAACACTGTCTAGCTATCTGAATATTTAGAAAGAAGAATGTGTTAACACAAACTGATTTTGGTGTTAGGGGTAACAAAATCTGGGTTTAATTCAACATGATACCAGTAGAATATGATTAATAGGAAGTTAATGGGTCGTTATGAAGGTGTTATACAAGGAGAACCCTTCCTTACACCTCTCTTTATTATAACAATACATAATCTGTACCACTTACTTTAATACCTTATACACAGGTTAAATCGTTCTACTAATTTGTTTGTCCACATCAAAGATTCCGAAAGATTATCATTTTAGGGAATTAAATGCAATTGTATTTTCTAAGCCATTTCCCACGATTATACAAAAAAATTGTTATATTGTAGAGGGGGGAAAGTAATTTGTTTTTGGGATAACATTCTAGTAATCTGTAAAATATTATTTCTTCTTTTCAAAATGTTTTCCGGTGTAAAGAAATAAAATCCCTCAACATACTGTTCTTTGCTGCTCATTTCAAATTCGGAATTAGAAATTTGTAATTTTGTATTATTTCAAATAAACCACCATTCCGTTTTGATATCATGCATATAAATGTCCATATCGGTCTCCCATTGTTATTGAGCACTATTTTAACAGTTAAATATTTTGTTCTTGTTAGAGTTCATATATGGAATCTCAATATTAATTTAAATCATCATTGTAATGAAATATCGTTTTGAATTTATTCATCATCTTGTAATATTTAAAAAGGGAAAACTAAAAGGCAAATTAAAAACGAATTAGATAATTGGAGAAACAGTAAGAAATGTTTAAATAATTCTACAATATTCAAAATATTTATTTCGATTATGGTAAAAACTATCTTATTTTAAAAAATTTTAAACTTCGGAATGGATTACACCTCTAAAGAGTTGTATAAGTTTCACAGTGTTCAAGAGCAAAATGAATTTTAAAATGAGAATAGAATTTTATAAAGGTCCAAGAGCAACGTATTGTAGAAGAATCAGGGAGAAAGTATAGGAGTCCTTAAATGGGAATATAAAATGATAATATTCCAAAATCTTGATAATCTAAAATTTATAAAACAGAAAGTTATTACTTGTACTATATGTAATCCCGAGTTTGATAGGATCATAATCCTAATAATAATCGACGTTTTCTAAGAATTAAGAGAATATTTTGGATAGATAGTTGGAACAAGCGTCATAAAAAAGTTTTGGTTTTCAAGTTGAAAGTTTCTTGTTGAAATTTAACGCAATTCAATTAGAAATTCTATGTAAAAATAAATAAAGGGTGTGAGGAGTTATTTCTCAGTTAAACAATAAACTAGCATTATTATGACAAGATAGGTGTGATCACTGATACACTCTCTATTTTATTATCTATTGTTTCAATTGATAAATTATAAACAATTTCTTCAACTTATAGCCAAATGTTTATTAATAAATTTCTATTATCTGAGACTCATTTTTAAACATTTACTGTACAGCAGGGTGGTGTTCGAGTTATTGTTTAGAATGTTCCCTTTTGGATATTTCATATTTATTGCTGCACAGTGAAGCTCTTGGGAAAGAATCAATTATCAATCTGGAACATTGTATTTATATTCTTTATCCTCTTAACCCTAATTATCAGCTTAGGGCGAGAACCCTGTCAATGAGACTGGTCGTAAAGGGGGACATGGAAAAGATTCGAACGGGGTAATAGTTGAAGCACGATCTGAGCACCTTAGAAATGAAATGAATGTAGTTTTACGTTTACTTTTATGCACCATGTGGGTTAGTGAAGACGGAGTGCACGTTAGAGATCCATTGACAGCAGGTAATCTAATAGAGTAAACTGTTGCTGCTGTACTGGCAAAATGTTCTCCATCGCACACTGCATGGCGATTCTCGTCTTTGTAGTCAAAACCTACAAACCATTTCATTTCATAGAAGCACGCAACCTCGGTTATGTCACCAGAGACCTAAAAAAATCCACAAAAATTCAATCTAAATTTTACAAACTCATCTTGTCACAAATGTTTTCTAGAAAAGAAAAACCGGCCTCCCACGTAGAGTTTTATTGAAAAATACATGTAATAGGAACGATATAATTTAGCTATGTTGATTTTTCTGTTGTTATCAAATATTTAAAAAATGTACAACACAAGGATTCATTTTAGAAATCTCAAATATACTAATTTCACGCTGTGCGACTAAATAATTTCATTTTGTTAATTTTCTAATGCCTTTTATACTTATTTGAAAATGCACACTGCAAGTTTTCGTTTAAAAATTTCGAAAAAAAAAATTATTTTACGCTATAGGATCAAAGTACTTAACCATTGAATATATATTTGCGATAAAAATATATCAAATGCCAATGAATATATTGAAATTACAAATTATATAATTCATCATAAATCATTCTTGTTCATATTCTCTGAATCTGAACAAATAAATTTAAATGCCACGTATAACTGATTCGTTTCTGAAGCGTTTCAGACATAGCATTATCTCCACGTCAAATTTGAGCAACATTTGCTCCGAAGCAATACAAAAGAGTTTGTGACGTCCATTGCTTTGAAACGGTAAAATTTGAGATCTAGACCGACTTAGATAATCCTATGATTCCTCTTTAATTCATTTCCATTAAAAGTAGCATAAAATAATGCAGAACTTTATATTTATTTCTGCATTTGCACTTAATTTCTGAAAGAGGAAATTCTAACTATCAGCAAGATTAGTCACAGCGGGATTGGAACATTTCAGAAATTGCTGTAATTTATATTTAAGTGGCATCGTATAAAAATCTTACGATTTAAGTGACAAGAAAAAAGTTGTAAATTTCAGTATTTAAATATTTATTTTACAATTGTAAAAATTATCTCATAACAAAAATAATACAGCTAACAAAATAATGTATATTAAAACATTCTACATCGTCTAATAGCATTATGTTTTATAACAAGCACGGTGCTAATAGCGCACCCTGTAGAATATAATATTATCTTACATTACAGAAACATTCATAAAGCAACATAGATAACATTATTATTGTATTAAAATAGTGGGTGTGAAGCAAGGAAGTGACATTTGTCACTATCTGTCATAATATTTTCTAAATAAACTTTACACTTTCAGAAATTCAAATAAAATTTAGAAACGACCCTCTTTCACCGATAATTGCAATTTTTAAATTTTGTGTACTTTCTTTAATAAATAATTAATAGTTTTATGTCGTGTACCAATAGCAAATACGATTTATTGCTCTCCAATTTGTGGGGTCAATTAAATCAATCGTAAAGTTGATGGCATTACTTTATTTACTGACAGTTTCACACTTGTTTTATTCTAAAACGATTACTCTTCTTGTTATAGTAATCATTGTTTCTTTATATTACAATTACTCAATCAAATAATGTAATTACTCTCAAGTAGTCGCCAATTAGATTATCATTAACTAACACGTCATAGTATACAAACTGTTTCTAACGACAACTGTCGTAAAAACGAATATTGAATTAACAAATTTAAGCAAATAATGTTTTAAATTTATATTTCGTAAGAATAATATGAATAAAATTCATGTGAATTAAAACAAAAGTTTGTTCGTACGCTTTTGCACAAGGAAAACCTATAATTTCCTTTATAATATTTGTAACCGGTCTTGGCTTATAAGATATAATAATGTATATGTACACAATTTCATATTCACATATTTACACATAAATAACACATTCAAACCAAATCACCGTAAATTAGACGGTAACGATGGAAAGGAATTACAGTTCCAAGCACTATAAGGATGCGATACACCTCGGGCACCTAATTGTCCGTAAGCTAATCCGTTCATACCGAGTGGAAAGGGATAACTTGTTAATGCTCTACCACCTTGAGAGGCATCCAATACACTATTATTCGTTGAAGTCATGCCGCTGAGCATAGATCTTTGAAGATCGAATTGAGATTCAAAAAGTCCTGGTATCAGAGACACTGGAAGGGAATTAGGCATGGATTTCATATCTACAATCTTTGGTGGAGGACTTGGAATTTTATCAAAGATGTCGGGTTTGGTCTTTTCTTCTGAACGAACTCGTCTGCTTGTAAAATGTGATCTTGATGATTCCATAGAAGAATGTTTGGAGGTTCCAATAATACTGTCAATACTAAATACTGCTGGTCGTTTCAACGAATTTGGTGTGGAGGCGGCAAGGGGAGATGACTCTTCCAAATCGTCAGAATCAACCCTAGAATGTTCAGCACGTGGACTTAAACTATCGTCTGGTTTGGTTTCGTCTTCTTGGAATTCGTCACTGTTATTGACCTCGCTGATTGAAAGATGATCAGAACTTTTATAATTGATGTCCAAATCACAAGAAGATGAAGTTTCACCACCATCCGATCTGTCACTCAAATTGTCACCCAAACGATTTCCGGCACCTTTAACACGACGTTTTCGACGTCTGTAGTTTCCGTTTTCAAACATTTCTTCACAATTAGGATCCAAGGTCCAGTAATTTCCTTTTCCAGGTTTTCCCTTTTCACGAGGAACTTTGACGAAGCAGTCATTCAGACTAAGATTGTGACGGATAGAATTCTGCCAGCCTTGTTTGTTGTCATGATAATAAGGAAATCGTTCCATGATAAATTGATAGATTCCATTTAATGTCACTTTCCTGTCTGGTGATGCTTTAACTGCCATGGCTATCAGAGCGATGTACGAATAAGGTGGTTTCTGTGGCTGTTCTCTTCTCTGAAGGTCTTCTATCATTTTCATAGCATAAGCTCTATTGATATCCAGGGTTGGGTTGTAGTAGAGACCATATGGATAGGCAGCTGCCCCAAGAGCTGGGTAAAAACTCTGCATTGTTGTAATTTACTGGTTACTTCTGAAAATACAAAAAAATGAAATATTATAAAAATGTAATACAGAAGGTCACATTTGAATAAACCAATGGACTGTTCAATTTTATGTTGCTCTTCAACAAATCTAAAATATTCACCTTATAATTAAATTCTTTAAATCTATCCACAGTATCTAGTTGAATCCACTGACGTAAGTCCAAAATTTCAAATAAATGTTTCCAAGTTGTTAAAAAATATGTAGAAGTGTATTGGAAGACGATCAAATGATATCTGAAGATTTGTAGCCAGATCGAGCCTTCTTATTGCTGCCTATTTACATAACACTCATCATAGCTATTGTTGTATGTTATTGTTTTTGTATAGCTAGTTGACTTACTGTTAGCTAAATAAATGAATGAACATTCAATCACCGTTACACTTTCTTTTGTTCCAGAAGGTGAGGAAAACGTCAGTTAAGACTTACGATACAGAACACTTAGTCCACCTCAGCCAATCGCTGCTCGTAATTTCAAGTGAAATGTTTATAAAACATTACTAACAATTATTTCGCCCACCCAAGATGTAGAAGGGGGTGTTTATTTTGAAATTTGGAAACGAGAAATTGACCACCCTTAACATAAACATTGATTAGAAAATCTTTTTATAACCATTCTGCTGTAACCCTCATTTCATTAACTACAAGTTGATCAGAATCTCACAAAATAACCCTTCGAAATTTTACCAATATTATTACAGCTATACCAAATAAATGTCTTTTTGTGTAAAAAATTAAAAATGATTATAAACATATAAGATAAGAATGCCTGAAGGAAAAAATAGTCCGATTTATAAACACCCCAATGTCTTAGATCAAATTTCGATTTGGGGAGAAATTGGATCCTCTGATACTTCATGATTGGGTGTTGGTTGACTTTTGTCATCATAATTTACACGGTTTAACGTTACAAACAACTTCACTAATGATACCAAATATTTCTTATTATTTGGTTATATGATAGTTATTTAAAATCTTGTCAAAGAAAATAATAAGGCAATAAGGGTGGTAATAATAGACATCCCTGTACCCTGCCCTCGTGTTTTATATCAAAATAAACTCTAAATTAAGCTATTAAATTGAATGTATCTAGCGAGTGGAGATGTGGTAAAAGTAAGAAGTTTGAGGGCGGGTAATATGATGGTATCGTTCACTATCATAATATTGAAAATAATAACTTTTCTATTTACATAATTTAAACAGCTCTTTGAAAAGATGTCAACAAATTTGATAGCTTGTTGAAATTCAGTTGGTAGAAAAAGATACATTAACGCCTAGATATTTATGATATTATTTTCAAATTCGATAAATATTTCATAAGAAAAATAGGCATTCCACCCTATATTACAGATGCTGTAGTTCATATAGAATAATTTTGTGTAAAACATATCTTGATCTATTTTTTATAATATCTCGACCTATGCCGGGATTGAACCCTGGACCTTCAGGTTAGCGAGCAAGCGTCTAACTCACTGAGCCACCGCGGCTCCGGCCGTACGACGAAAAGAGAGCAACATTTTTGAAGGTAGTATAAGATTCGAGCAATTTTTATGAGGTTATTAACTTTTAATATAATCCATTATTTAATGAGTAATGTACTTTTCCAATTAAAATTTCTTTTTATAATACTTGTCATAGATTGAAAGCTGATCATTGATTGAAAAACTTGATACTCACCTAAAAGTTGTGTGAGTAATCTTTTTTACGGTTTGAAATGTTTTGAATGTTACCATATTGCTGTGAAAAAAGACAGTACAGATTATTGGGTTACATGTTGGTAATACATATATGTCTTGTCGAAAAAAAACTTTTGATTTGTTGGAGTAAGTGTAACTTGTGTTTTATTTCAACAAAAATTCTATCTATTTACATTATTTAGGAAGTTGGTGTTTTGCAAGGTTACGCTCTTTTCCCTGCCATCTTACAAATATTTGCAAAAAAATATTGGAGCTGTCATGAAATGTTTGTAATCCGATTTCAGTCTTATAGATTGTGATGCTGTGCTGATTCAAGATGAATAATGCACTTTAATTTGGAAATTACAATAAAAATAAAATTCATAAATATTAGGAATTTGGCAGGGTTACGCTCTTTTGCCCTATTTATTTACTGTATGTACATAAGGCATTAAATCTATCTGAAAAGGTATGCAAGCTGACCGAAAAAGCTCCTCAGACTCATAAAATGTAATCATAGGGCAGTGATAATGAAAGACGACACATCCTTCTATTTCAAAAACTAAATTAACAAATGTTTAAAAATTCATAACTTACAAAATTTTTGATGCTTAAAAATCAATCACTTAATATCGTAGTGTCAAGAAGAAAATACGCTATTCTTATGTTATATGAATTCATTTATAAATGAGAAATTTTTCCAATTACATTTTTGTTGCTTGTTTGTTGGTTCAATAAATTGACGATTAAGAAGATTTTCTGTCTCTATATTGATATCTAAAAAAGGTTTGACCGTTTTATCATTATTCAAAGCCTACAATTTATGAAAATTATCAAAGGATGCATATTCAAACTTTATTAACTATTAAGAAAAAGAACAATATACATACTTGAATAAGTAGAGTTTATACCGTTTCCTGAACAACCATCATTCTTCACATACGAACTAACTTATAAAACGAGAAATAAGAAAAGTGAATGTGTGGTCCCCCAATGTATATTTATTTCTTTGATTTGGGAGGGCAGGCACGATGGAATACTGCGAGTTGAGAAGACCTTTATCTATCAGTGAGCCTTTTGTAAACAAAACGAGTGTATATTCTGAAGTCGGATATCGCTCAATTCATACATTGGGCATTAGAGAAAACAGTGAAGCTAATGTAGAGTAAATGTCGAAAGAGCAAAGTGATATGAAAACGACTGTATGTTTATTTGTGCAATTGTGCTGGAAGTACAACTGTTTACATTTCGTTCCGGGTGATGACGAAAAGATTCCGATTTTTTAACGATAACACTGCTGGTTGTATGACGTGGGTGGGGAAAGATGTCTGTACTAATATTTTGACGGATTGAGAGTGATTTCTAATTCGTTTAAATTAAAAATAAATATATATCTATTAATGAGAGAAAGGAAGAAGCTGTTTATGTTATTGTTAACATAATTTCAGTCAAAAGACGTCGTCTTCAATTCTTCAAGTGTGGTTCCCTTTCAGAATAGACAGGAGTATTAACAAATCTTCCACCACAGAAGGAAGAACAAAACAACAAACTTTAGTTTTATTCAAATTCATGTGAATTGGTCAATATTATGTTTTAGCTAATCACTTCCGGAGCACCTGCAATATATATCCTTAGATATTATTAACAGATTTCGTGCATTGAAATAGTAGTGTAGTATAATGAAGATGTATGTTTCCGCGGCTGGAAGACCCCGTTTTTACATTTTTTCTTAAAAAATGATGCATATCGTAATTGCAGAATCTATTCATGAGACCAACTTCATAAAAGCCCAACGGTTACATTGGTTTTTATGATTCCCTATCCAAAACTATATTCTGTGATTAAAATAAAGGGTATGCCAACTTTAATGGTACATATATTTTTAAGTAGACAAGTCTTGTTTGTATTATTATAAACAAGATTAGAGTCAAAACCTGCCCTCCTTCTTTAAATTGATCTTAAAATATACAACTTATAAATAGTCAAATGGTGTTTTTGATAAAACTTGGGTCAAATTACTACATTGTGGACAAGCTGTAGACTTTATGTTTCTTTCTTTAACATCCTGCTAGATATTGATAGATCATGGTATCTCGGCAAAATAGAATGATATCGTCATCGAAGAAAAAAAAACTCCTAATAACATGAGCAATAACGTTTCTAACATTAACAACATGAAAAGAAGCTACCAAGTCATCAGCAACAGTAGGCTAACAACGTAAATGGAAACAACAGATATGCAACCGTGAAAATATTAAATATTAAATTGATCATATTCAATACAAAACTTCAAATTTCAGTTGTTCCAATGAATTGTAAGGAAGAGTTTTTGTCATATTCTTACCAGTATTTCCAAAAACCACACCTGTAGAGTCCCCTATTGTAACACGAGACTTTTTTTTACAATATTATTAGCCTAAAGGATAAAGTAAAGTTTCCATGAATACTCTTTAAAATTTAATTGATAAAAAATGAAACTAAATATTGCGGCTTGAATTTAAAATCAAAGAAATGTCTTGAGGATATTTAACTTCTTAAAATACAAACATATCTTGGTGAATATCCACCGATTTCGTGGGAAATGGTCAAAAGATGAATTAAGAAGAACACACATCCTAAATCTTAAAGTCAACATAAAGATTAGTAGCCACGATCAAGACTTGTTCAATATGAGCTAACAAGATCAAACGGTCATTTGTATTCTAATGACCATTAAGTGACCAGTACTTGACCACATGAGATTTTGTATTTTTCAAGCTGTTGTAATTTTAATCTTTAAATCGCAGTACCTTATTTGATGTAAAACAATACGATATTGATCTTCATGCTAGTACTTGATAGACCACACCCTTAGGTTATGATTCATATTTTTGAATTTGGTGAGAATCTATTTTCAAATTGCTTAGGAGAAAACTAAAAAGGAAGTCCAGCTTATGGAGCTATTGCTTATATAATATTTATATTTCAGAGTTTGTGGAATACAGAATTAGTCCGTAAAAAAACGAAGTACAAACGATCCGAACCGCAAAGGAGGAACGCCGTTAAAATAATTACATTAATTACGTGTTCCAAGTTTGGTTTTTCCCAATGTTAAATTCGACATTTACGACAAAAATTAATCTTAAAAGATTTAAAGAAATAGGGCTAAATTCCTGAAAATAAAAACATTACAAAAATTGTATGTGAATTTATTTC